CCTGGACGTGCCGCCTGTAACCGTGAACGAATCAAAAGACGAGATAATATTAACGAGAACATTTATTAGCTTACATACATCCGACTTGGATTTTACACAAACTGCGAAATTATACCCCGACTTACGCAAATTCGACTTACGCGGTTATCACTCGGTCCCACCTATTGCGGGTTCGTATCGCTAAGTTCGGGGTATTACTGTAGTTTTAAAATGAAAAAAAAAAAATCAATAAAAATTTATTATTTTAATTTTCAATTTAAGAAATGCCAAAGTACAAAAATTTATATTAGTTATTTTCAATACCTTACCCAAATTAAAATTTACAATTCTATTACTTTTTCTGAAAATGTTATCATAAATAAATAATGCATTAAAAATTATTATTATTTGCAGAAACAATAGTTTAATTGAAATTAGTACCATATCCAATTCTCTGAATTGCCCATCTATCTCTTTTGATAGATGGGCAATTCAGACAATTCAGTAATTCAATCATTATTGAATACAGACAGTATATTCTTATTGAATGAAATGTTCATACCTCTTCAGAAAGCTGTGAGCCAAAATTCACCCAGGTCCCTGTAACAATGAATATAAAATTATAAATGAAATAGTCACAAGAAAAATTTATTGATTATTTTTAATATACAACTTTTACTTGAATTAATTTAATTAGTATCTGTATTTGATGTGTGAAATACATTATATGATTAATACATAAATTTTATTTCATACATTATTAATATTTACTGTTGAAAGTACAGCATCATTATAATAAAAGAGTTGATTATTTTGTTAGGTGTATTAAATACTTGGCTTGGATGTCACGCCAACAGTTAACTCAATCAAAATTTCAGACTATGAGGTATTAAATAGAATTCTATTTAACGCCTCATAGTCTGAAGTTTTGACTGAGTTGATTATTTAATTCAAGAAATAATGCTAGATATTTTCTTATTTTCATCATCTACATCTGAGGATTTCCTGCAATAAGTTACTCTCTCTTGACTTGTACTATACATAGCTCAACTGTCACCATACCTATTCATCCTGCTTATTCAGTAATCTACTTTTGAACAGATGTTGAAGAGTCAGTGACCCTTTGTGTCTCCTTGTTAGAAGGAAAATACTTGTCAACGATAGATACATTTCAGAAAGTTCTGAAAGACCTTTCTTCAGTTGCAGAAATTAATATGGGGCTGTCTGGAAACTATAGAGGGTCTGGCAGAAGTTAGTTCTAATTATAATACTATAATACTATAGTTCTAATTATAATACTAGATGCATAATTTTGGAAATGTGTTTATTGTTGTAATGAAGAAATGATTTCACATTAGCAAGTTCTGAATGTATTTTTATGAAGTTTTATTTTCAGATTCTCAGCATTCAGAGTTCTTATTCAGAGTCATTTCTAAAACCTTAAAATGTACATTTGAATATTTTGTGCCTCAAAGAACACAAATGAACACAAATATCGAATTTATTGACATACTAATTATCATTTTGAAGTAGAACTGACAGTTGTTAATAAAAGATATATAAACAAAATCCTTTTCTATCTCCATGCTGACTTGCTTTTTTTGTTGGTTACATTTCATACAACGATAGTTTCATGATCAATGATAAATTGCAATAGAAACTAATTTTTTTTTTTAAATATTGGCTAAAGGCTTTTATATTTGGAAAATAAAAAAAGCATCACATATCTGATGAGCAATATAACAAGGGGTTACTGTTTTTATTGAAGAAAGTTTTTCTCCAAAGATTTCCTTTTCATTACAGTTTAAAAAGTTTTTCTTAACACTTCACTAATAACAAGAAAACTGTAGAACTATATAGAATCAAATCAACATATATCTGGAATATATCTATGATTATGTTTCTTGTTGAAGAATTTTCATAAAAATTAGATTACTAATGAGTTTATGGATAAATGACTGGTGGTAATAAACAAGATATAAACTGAATATTGTAAACATAGCATCAAAAATAAGAATTTATTTCTATATCAATATCCTTTGAAAATATCCCTTTTAAAAATAAGTAATAATTTCTTTTTGAGGTAATCCTTTAACAGACAATTGAAGGGATTGATAGAAAAATGGTGTATTCTGCAAAACTACAAAAAAATAAGATATTAACAAATTTAGATTTGTGTACATTATTGATCCATCTTCTAAGAAATTTTTATGGTTCAGTTGCAAGTTCCATGGGTTTGTACACCTACATTAAAAAAAATGTTGCATATTAAAATATTGATGAATTAAACACAAAACCAGCTTTTTCTTGAAAACTTTCTAATGTGGGATATACCATTTTTCTATCAAGCCTCTCAATTCTTAAATTCTTGAAATATAAAAGCAATATAACATTTTGAATTTTATAAAAAAATTCTTGTTAAAAACTGTGATGTGATAAACATTTAAATCTTTTCAGTATAATGAAAAAAATCTATCTAATTTTCTTACACTAGCATACAAGTAATATTTGTAATACAATGTTTGAAGATGTGTTCAGCTAGTCAATGATCATGATATTATCAAAACTTGAAATTTAAGTAAATATTTTTCATTTTATATATATGATAAAAATTACTATAAAAAATATTATCAAAATATATTCTATAATTCATAAATAATTTTATTTAAATTAATATAAACTTACCTAGTGCAATGACAGAAACTTTTAATCCAGATTTTCCCAAATTCCTATAAAAATTAAATCAATGATTTATTAATTCAAACTTCATTACAATTGCTCAGTTTTAAAATAAAAATTTCAAAAATTTTCATATGAATGTTTTCCATCATTTATTTAATTTATCATTAACAAATTTCTTATTTTTGTAAAGATAACATAATATAAAACTGTGTTTATTTTCAGATTTTGCCATTATTACAAAATAGAATAATGAATAAATTTTAAAAATATTCCATTTGTTGATGAAAATTGAAAATAATGCCTTATAAGAAATAATGCAATATACTAAAGTATCTTGATAAATTCTTTGTTTAACACTAGAATAGCACACTTTCCTCATATCAAGAACAGCCACTAGAAAGTCATTTTGACCATCCTCACAAAATATCATTTAAATTGTAGAAAATAGTTTCAAAATGCATAAGAATATTAAAAAGTGAGTACGGTAATTCAGACATACAGGGGTTGGCCAAAATAATTCAAACACCAATGAAATATCATTTTTTGTTTACTAATAAGGGTTAGGCCCACTTTTGCAAATAATACAGCTGAAATATGTTGAGGAATGGATGAATATAAATCACAAACAACAATAATGTCAATTTTGTACCATTCTTCAACCAATACTAATGCTAATTCCTTGACAGAAGGAGTTAGTGGAAATCTATTCCTAACCTTTTTCTCAAGAATGCTCCACATAGGCTAAATAATATTCAAGTCTCATAATTGGGGTGGCCAATGTAGACGCTTAACTTCAGTTTCATGCTCCTCAAACCAGGATTGAACACACCCAGTAGTATGGATAGGAGCATTGTCATCCTGAAAGATTGCATTACCATCTGAAAATAAAATTTGGATCATGGAATGTAGTCACTCAGAATACGCAGACAACTATAAGACCCAATGAGATGAATGATATTACACTCCAAACCATACAGGTCCCTCTGCCAGGCTTGACAGGGAGTTTAAGTTTGTTAGATCTGACACAATCATGCCCCAAATCATGCAAATGGATTTTTCAACAACAAAAGTAATGAAGTTTACCAACAGTGATATAAGTTATGCAAATGAGAACAAAGGGTGGTTGGTACCTGTGACAGCACATGCTTTAGGAAAAATTCGAGTGTGTAAAACATGGGTGTTTGAATTATTTTGTCCAACTCCTATAAATCAGGGGTGGCCAACAAGTCGATCGCAAAACCAATTTTGGTCGATCACTTGCGATGGCTTGACTTAATGTGTTACACTTGTAAGTTGTAACCGAACGCAACACGTGAACTGTAATGATATCAGATCTCCTCGTTCTCCCTCAGATGTGGTTTTGTCGGTCCATGTGCAATACATTTGCGTACAGTTGTAAAAGGGGAATAAGAAATGTAGACAAAGGTCATAAAACTGAAAAAAAGAAGGGACAGAGAGAGTAGGTCAAGACACGGTAGAGAGAAGAAGGGTGAAGTGGTGGTCCCCGAAAGTGACAACGTTGAGTTTCAATTTTTCTTCTGTTTAAAATGTAAGTACCTTTTCTTCGTGTTTTAAATTAAATTGTGGCTTTTCTTTTCTGTCTAAACTTAGTATGTATTTCACACCTCCCTCCCCCTCGTCACTAAGACCAGGGATGGGCAACCTTTTACTGTGTAAGGGCCGCATTTCAAAACTTTTGAACTAACGCCGGCCACGTACAAGATAAAAGAGGGGGGAAATGCCGGTAAATCACAATTATTTGTTTATACATAATTATAAAATAGAATAGGTATACTTAATGTAGCTTCTATAACTGATGTAAACGTAATGTATCAAAAATATTTGATTAAATATTAGTCACTGCTAGTTTTAAATTAGTTTCGAGGTGAGTCTGTTAGCCGGTTTCTCGTTTTAATTTTTACTAAATTCATTGCAGGAAAAACTATTCACATACATAAGTTGTAGAAAATAACGTTTGAATTTTTGCTGCATACTATAAGTTAATGTTATTTTTACGAACAAAAAATAAAATATTTGAGTCTGTTTTTATTAATAAAGAAACATTCTACGTAATTCATTTGTTTAAAAAAATCGGATAAAGGGGCCCACTTTAAGCTAGGAAATTGATATATTTATACACATTTTATGCAATTCAGGCGGCAGAATGCCCATCGCTGACTTAGATTATGCCTATGACAACGAGTCAATCGCAACACATTTTTAATATAAAAAGTAGATCTTATGTACACAAAAGTTGGCCATCCCTGCTATAAATGATCAATAAGAGTCACATTTCAAGTTTTTATTTTGAAAAAATACTTGAAACACCATGAAGTACCAAACAATCTGCTGGATTTTTATTGAGCTATGTTAAGGCTAATTAATAATAAATGTAATAATTAGAAATAAGTTAATTTTTTATTTAGAATATTCCAGAATGGGTCACCAAACTACAGCCTGTGAGGTCAGTTCATCCAGCCCATTGCCATACTGTGCCACAAATGAGCTAAAAAGCAAGGAGAGTTCTTATTTTAATTTTTTTACATAGTAAGTTTATCTACAATCTATGATATTTCCATATAAATAATTATATAAGGGGAGTCTGATATTAAAGGTACAGGCATTACACTAACATTTATAATTCAAGAAAATATTTTATTCTATAACTTTTCATGTCTCCATTTTAGCTGTGAAATCAAAACATCTATTATCCCTTTCATTTTCAAAACATTTTTTTGTGAAAATTTTTTTATTGATTGATTCTTGATTATCTCATTTCTTAATCTTTCTTTTTTGTTTCTCTTCAAACTATGTTGATTTGTTCAGCTCTAAAAGTAAATTTTCATATTTATCAAAAATATTTTCTCTCATCTGATATAAAGAAAGAGATTATATTTCTATTAAACATGCAGCTTTATATATAATTATAATTTTTGATTGCAAGGCTTTATTTAATTTTCTTATTTCTTACAGTATCAAATTCCAAACAGATAACATATACAAAAATTTCTAATTTATTTTCTTGAAGATACTGTTGAATTCAGGATATTGCAATGATTTTGTGGCCGGTGGCCATATCGGCATACGTTTATTTTATTATTATTAGTATATACATATTTTTAGTTCTAATATTCTTTCCCTATTTCTTCAATTTCTTTGTGTGTTCATTCTAGAACATTCCATGACCGTTATAGCCTTTAGGGGGGATTAGCGATTCTGTGAATCGCAAAGAACAATAGTGCAGGAAATTACCCCCCTCTGAGAGAGGAGAACAAAGAAGGGTGTGTAGAGGGGACGGAAGAGGTAAGAAGAGACAGAATCGAGGGAGACACGTGGAGAATAAGACGTGTCGAGGTGAACTCCAGACTTGACTGAGAGCCGAAGAAAGAGAGACTTCTCGGGAGGGTCAAGCGACGGACTGGAGAGAATCAGAGACCCCACGGCTGAAGGCCCAACGACAGGAAAACTGAAGACACTTTACTTCACTAAGGAAGTAGATCCGAGGACACAGTAAGAGTTGGGAAGAGAGTGCCAAATAAAAAGGATCCGACCTAGAGCGCAAAATCATATCGGAAAGAACGAGGAAAGTCCCGGGTGAAGTTGTTTTTTCCTTCTATTTTCCTTCTTGCTATCCTATCCTTCTTATATTTTCCTTAGTAAGTTAGGTTAAGTTAGATTTTATCACGCGTATAGAAGATACATATTGTCACGCGACAAGTTAACGTCACCCCGCGATTTCTTGTACCCATCACGTTGTAATGATTGTACCTGAATCAATTGGGATCCATAAATAAAATAACCTGTTAGTGATTTGCAAGAAAAGTGTTGATAATTATAATTATCCTTACAACACAAAGACCACAATTTATTATTTGATGTCATGTCTTTTAATAATTGTTATACTTCTATTATCTGTTGACATAATTCCTCAACTGCATTCGCTCTTGATGCCTATTGTGTATCAATTAGAGATACCACGAATATTCAGCTACTATTCGGTATTCGGCTAGTTTTTTTAATATTCAGTATTTGGCTAAATGTTGCATACTATTCGGCCGAATACCGAATATCAAATCATAAAAAAAAAACACATATTACTCAAAAACGTATTTATTTTAATCACAAATTATTACATTTAATACTGAAAATCTATCTGTGGCAAGTTGTGATGAATGGAAACAATTTTTTCAACATTTGTTGATAGCAAACGATTGCGCTTTTCCTCATAAACTATACCTGCTTCTGAAAATAGCCTCTCACTATATACACTACTGCCGAGAGACAATAGATAAATCTTAGCGAATTCTGTCAGGCTTGGATACTGTTTTACGTTTGCTGACCACCACTTGTAAAGGTCTGCCGTCCAATGTAGGCAAATAGTTTTCATATAAAGTGATGCAGTGATATTTTTTAGTAATAAGGACTATTAGTAACACAATTTGATGTAACAATAAACAAATAATGCATGTCATGACACGATCTACTCACAAATAAAACAAATGCGCCCACGGTGTTGCTACTGCTCCCACCGCAATGAGACAGGTTGTAACCTGTCACCTGCAAAATGTACACATATTTTACCTACAGCCAAATAGCCAAATATTTCGTATTCGGTATTCAGCAAAATCACTATTCGTGGCATCACTAGTATCAATACAACACAATACACCACAAACACACTTGATCACATTTGAAATATATAATGAATATATTGAATAAAATTGTAGAGTACAAAACAGGTCTTTAGAGACTTTTTGCACAAAACGTATTTTAATGACTTCCTTTAAAAAAGGGGACTACTGTAGTACCTTAAGAACAGACTGTGTGACAGCCCTGAAATTATGCTCAAATAATCAAATATTACCCAATTATATATATATATATTTATTTATTTATTTATTTGATAATTATTTACAAAAGAGTTTACTTACATTGTGAATTCCATCAACTAAACGGAAATCNGCATACGTTTATTTTATTATTATTGGTATATACATATTTTTAGTTCTAATATTCTTTCCCTATTTCTTCGATTTCTTTGTGTGTTCATTCTAGAACATTCCATGACCGTTATAGCCTTTAGGGGGGATTAGCGATTCTGTGAATCGCAAAGAACAATAGTGCAGGAAATTACCCCCCTCTGAGAGAGGAGAACAAAGAAGGGTGTGTAGAGGGGACGGAAGAGGTAAGAAGAGACAGAATCGAGGGAGACACGTGGAGAATAAGACGTGTCGAGGTGAACTCCAGACTTGACTGAGAGCCGAAGAAAGAGAGACTTCTCGGGAGGGTCAAGCGACGGACTGGAGAGAATCAGAGACCCCACGGCTGAAGGCCCAACGACAGGAAAACTGAAGACACTTTACTTCACTAAGGAAGTAGATCCGAGGACACAGTAAGAGTTGGGAAGAGAGTGCCAAATAAAAAGGATCCGACCTAGAGCGCAAAATCATATCGGAAAGAACGAGGAAAGTCCCGGGTGAAGTTGTTTTTTCCTTCTATTTTCCTTCTTGCTATCCTATCCTTCTTATATTTTCCTTAGTAAGTTAGGTTAAGTTAGATTTTATCACGCGTATAGAAGATACATATTGTCACGCGACAAGTTAACGTCACCCCGCGATTTCTTGTACCCATCACGTTGTAATGATTGTACCTGAATCAATTGGGATCCATAAATAAAATAACCTGTTAGTGATTTGCAAGAAAAGTGTTGATAATTATAATTATCCTTACAACACAAAGACCACAATTTATTATTTGATGTCATGTCTTTTAATAATTGTTATACTTCTATTATCTGTTGACATAATTCCTCAACTGCATTCGCTCTTGATGCCTATTGTGTATCAATTAGAGATACCACGAATATTCAGCTACTATTCGGTATTCGGCTAGTTTTTTTAATATTCAGTATTTGGCTAAATGTTGCATACTATTCGGCCGAATACCGAATATCAAATCATAAAAAAAAAACACATATTACTCAAAAACGTATTTATTTTAATCACAAATTATTACATTTAATACTGAAAATCTATCTGTGGCAAGTTGTGATGAATGGAAACAATTTTTTCAACATTTGTTGATAGCAAACGATTGCATTTTTCCTCATAAACTATACCTGCTTCTGAAAATAGCCTCTCACTATATACACTACTGCCGAGAGACGATAGATAAATCTTAGCGAATTCTGTCAGGCTTGGATACTGTTTTACGTTTGCTGACCACCACTTGTAAAGGTCTGCCGTCCAATGTAGGCAAATAGTTTTCATATAAAGTGATGCAGTGATATTTTTTAGTAATAAGGACTATTAGTAACACAATTTGATGTAACAATAAACAAATAATGCATGTCATGACACGATCTACTCACAAATAAAACAAATGCGCCCACGGTGTTGCTACTGCTCCCACCGCAATGAGACAGGTTGTAACCTGTCACCTGCAAAATGTACACATATTTTACCTACAGCCAAATAGCCAAATATTTCGTATTCGGTATTCAGCAAAATCACTATTCGTGGCATCACTAGTATCAATACAACACAATACACCACAAACACACTTGATCACATTTGAAATATATAATGAATATATTGAATAAAATTGTAGAGTACAAAACAGGTCTTTAGAGACTTTTTGCACAAAACGTATTTTAATGACTTCCTTTAAAAAAGGGGACTACTGTAGTACCTTAAGAACAGACTGTGTGACAGCCCTGAAATTATGCTCAAATAATCAAATATTACCCAATTATATATATATATATTTATTTATTTATTTTTGTGTTAATACAATTTTATTAAGAATTCTTTATAACAATTAAAATTTATATTTAATTCAATATAATTTAAGTACTTTTCATAATATCAATTTATAGTTTAATTAGTAAACTAACTTGTATCTCATTGTTGCTGGAGTTGACAATGAAATCTGTCGACTTGGTGGATTAGTAGTCATTGAACTGTCACTAGAAAGCAATCCTTCTTCCATACATTCTAAACTAGCAATGGGAGCACGACAGCTAAAAATGTAATAAATTAAGGAAATTAATTTTTATTAAAATATTAATTTTTTATGCATTTAAAATTAGAAATTATCATTATCAATAAAACTTATTTAACTTATTTATAGTATATACAAGTAACCCCCGTATAACACGGCACTTTTATAGCATGGATTCGCTCTGACACAGTTTGAGAATTGGGTAAAACCCTCGTACAACAGGAAATGTAATAAATTTTTACATACTTAAGTAATAATACTGTAGTTCACGAAAATTATTATTTTCGTGAACTATTAGTACTCAAGTATGTAAATTTTCTCTTCTCGCCTTCTGTCAATACAGGTGGTCCTTCTCGAAACTTGTTTCAATGTTGCCAGATCGTGACGCTTCTGCTTCTGATGTTGCCGAATGTTTTTCCCTTATTCCATACTTGCTTTATTCTTCATAAGTGCTTAGCACCATATAAGGAAATTTATAAAGACCTTTTAACTAGAAGCAAGCAATCTAAAATTACATACATTTTGCAAAAGGTAAAGCATGGATCTGAAGATAATGCAGAAAAATGCTCAGAGGATAAGGATAACTTGCCAAAAAGAAAACGCTCTCGGTTAATTAATAGTGTTTTTAGTGATGACGAAGAAAACATTGTTTAATTTATATTAATATGTATCACTTAAAAAAATTTTAATGAAGATATTTATCTTAATTATGAAAATATACTAGCATGTTTTTTAATTTTTGGAACCTAACCCTCCTTTTCGTATTAGTTCTTTGTTTCGTATAACACGGATTCGCATAACACGGCAATTTTTTGGAATGTAACTACCGTGTTATACGGGGGTTATCTGTACCTACAAAGCAAATATTAAAGAATTTCATGTAATAATTTTATTATGTAAAATCAGTGTTATTTTTCTATAAAAATATTACCGTATATCTGTGCAGATAAGACGAGAGTTAAATCATAAAAAAAGACCCCCAAAATCCGGGGTCATCTTATAGGACAGATACAAAAACAATTAGATTGAAATTTATATAAATGTAATAAATTGTAATAATATTTACATAAATGTAAATAAATCATTATAAAAAAACAGAGAAACCATAATTATTTACTAGTAGAGAGTAGGGTATGTCCACAAAATAAAATAGCCCATACAACATTTCTGTGAATAGTCATGGTCATTACCTAAATGCCTGAATCAGTGTGAATGTTTTGCAACAATCGCAAGGCGGTGCTGCCAGATGCAAGAAAATAAAATTTGAAGTTCTTTCAAAAAATTACGAATAGGACATAATTCCGTATATGCTATACAGTGTTATTATCCAGATAATGATCACTAATCTAAACTAAATTCATAGGCCGTTGAAAGTTTAGGGGTCATCTTATAGGACAGATATATGCTAAAACTATAAAACTTTGATGAAAATTTATACCTCATCTTATCTGAAGGTTGTCTTATCTGCACAGATATACGATAATTGACATTCTTAATGCAACCATTTATTTATTTTAAGATTCCATCAGATAAAGGATAAACACCACAGAGTAAAAATCTTTTTTTATAACTTCTAAACTATGTCAAATTATCAGTACTACCATCTTCACACTTCCCTTACATTTGATGTTTTGTAGCATAATACTATTAACATAAGCCATAGGTATTTTATCTTTCACGCTTTCTTCCCTGTGTGGCCAGGCTTAAATGAGGACAGCCAAGATGGATAAAACAGAGTATTGGGACAAACTGCCTATGAAAAATTCCTAGGCATCACTGTCCATATTCAATCCTGGGTCCCCAGAAAAGCAGGCCTTTACTGCCTTGACCATCTAGCTGTCAAGCCATACATTTAAACACACATGTCATAGATTTAAATAGGCTTGTGTCTTCAATAAGATAAAAAGACAAAAGAAAATAGCTACCACTACAGCTGTTATGAGAATGAGATCATAGCATAAAATCAACAATATAGACACTCAATCAAATATAATACTGACACTTAAATTAAAAATATGCTTTGAATGAATTTACTATTTTAAAGCTATTTTATGAATTAATTTATAGTAAAAAAAATTAGATTTATTGTAATATATTTAATCTGTCTAGATATCATAAAACCAGGTTTGGTTTATTATGGGATATTTATTTAAAATAAATTGATTCATGAAATTTCTTTTAAAATGAGGACAAATAGATTCACTTGAAATATATTTTGTAGTTAACCTTTACATTTGAATGATGGTGTCTGAATTGTCAATTCCATTAGATTTGGCACAATAGTATTATTCTCATGTAAACTGAAAAATGGTGCATCTTACTTTTGTTTCTGCATGTATATTTTCTTAATTTATTATAACTCTAATAATTTCTATTATTAATAATGTGAAGTCACTTGCATTTGTTTACCAACAAATACCAAATAATCAAATGATCATTTCATAATAGCATTGTTAACATACCATGACAAGATAAAAAATACAAATCTTTTAACAATGTTACAATGCATGAATTTGTTTGCAATGCTTCTTTCAAAGGATCTGAGATTTTCTTCCTTCTGAGGACTATAAAAAGTTTAAGAGTGTGTATACTGACATATTCTAAGTCAAAAATAGCACTATATAAAATTAATTCACATTCATTAATTTTGGTTAACATATGTAATTTATGAATTAATTCTGTATTAATTGTTAAAATTTATTAATTATATGTATATGTAATATTTGTACAGTATATTCAGTAATAAAAAATAAACACATGAAATAGATAATTCTTTCTATTGTATATCTTCTAATTTCTGCAAAAAAAAAAAATCACAAGATATTTCTGTAATGTTTAAAGCATTCATATCAATAATATTCATATAAGATGTGAGAAATTTTTCTATAGAGCAGATGATAGCATACACATATTATAGTATACTATTTCAAATATTCCATTTTAAAAATATTTATATTATACAGTTTATAATGCAATTCAATAATGTTTTAGTGTAAAACATTGATTTTTAATTTTAATTCAAATACTTTTTTTTTTTATCCGAATTATGATTACTGGTACATTTAACTGATATTTTCAATTTGTTAAAATAAAAGTTTGATATACTGTTCTTGTTAGTACATATGTTAAGATACATTGTAGTATGGCAAGAGATGGATTTATTAATGTGAAAGTCTCAGGGCATACACAGTTGTGGAGAGAGCTGTAGTAACTAACACTCATGCAAATTGTATTATAAATACAGTAGATCCCCCTATAAAACCGTTTCCTATAGTTATGATTCCTATAAAAATTGTGGCAGTATCCGTAAACAATGGTAAAAATAACTCCTATAATAAGTAAAACGTCATCGGGCAGCCGAACTACTTTCCCGCCGTCCGTAGCGCCACGCTACGGACGTTTAGGCGGATAAATTGAGTTTAGTATCGTCTGTTCATATAATTATATATAAATTAGGTACTGTACATATAATTATATATTAATTATATATAAATTAGGTACTGTATATATAATTATATATTAACTTAATTTATTGTAACTTTATTATAATTAAATATATATTTTTCGCCGTCTAGCGTCACGCTACGGCGAGTTAGGCGACCTATCGTCTGTCCAGTACTGTAATTTTATACATTTCTTGTGAAAGAAACATTTNAATCTTGATTAATTGGTCCATTTCGTAAATTTAAAATAAATTTTAATTATTTGCCAACTTTTGAAATTTAAAAAATAATTAAAATACATTTTAAATTATTATTATTATTATTATTAAATTAAATAATAATTTAGAATTTAATTTTACTATATTAATGACGTTCTAAATGTATTCTGAATAGATTAAATGCAATTATGTATTCCTTGATTAGAATTAAAAAGTAAGTTAATGGTTGAATTAAATAAGAAGATTTGAGTAGGAAAGATAATTAATGATCGATAATGAGCAATTATTTTTTAATTCTAATTAAAGTTACAAAGCTACTTACTTAAAAAAATTATATAAATAAAAATTATAAACCCAAACATGTAAGCTTTGATATAATTAAATATAGGTTATATTAATTTTAGAAACGCGAATGGACTTCTACAGAATTATTAATCATTAATTTATATATTAAATAAAGAAAAAAAACTACAGTTTTTCAATTGTTATCCTCTTTATTCATTGTGTATAATACTATAATGGATTGCTTGACAGTAAAGGTGTGTCCATTAATGTGTAAAGATTAATACATTTATAAATTTAAATTTGGATTAACTCGAATGTAAACATGAGTACAATCGGTCAATTATACTTCATACGTTCGTATGTCATTAATATTATTAGTAGTACGTACCCTTTTTAGTACGTATCTATGTAAATGTAACATCCCTTAGTGAGGGTAGATTTGTGTATAAAGTTTTATATACAAACTTACCCCCTTATTATGTTTTAAGTATATAAAAAAATATCTTCCAGAAGTATTGGTTATGGAGTGTTATGTCCCTCTTTTCTCTATTCTCCCCTGAACACATCATCACATATGCGCTTCTAAAAGATTATAGAACAGTCATGGGCAAATGCGGCTCTTTTTGAGTTACATGCGGCTCTTGTTGAAAATGTTAATTTCTGCTTTTTATTATTGTTTTTACAATTTTATTTCCACAATTTTGTGAAAATATGTTTATTAAAAAATTTCAATATTTGTTTTATATTATATTTATATTATATAATAAAATCACGGTACAGAACTGTGGTACAGAATAAAAAAGTACAGAACTGCGGCTCCCATGCAACTTGCAAAGCCTACATTTTGGCTCCCACTGAACTCTTGCTTGCCCACCCGATATATACTCTCCACCTCAAATTAGTAGTGTCTTGCCCTGTACAACATACTTTTCCTGTTAGCAATAGAGTCATGCCCATCTTCTAACTCCTTTCAAAGGAAAATTTTTTAATTCAAATAACATGACTTCTGGTTTGCATCAGAAGCTCACATATAGTTAATTGGGGCCTCCTGACCCTAATCTTTCCATATCTTG